AGTTTAAACCCTTAAACCTTATATTCATAGCATTTTCATTCCACCCTTCCCATCAAATATTGATTAAAAAATAAAGTGTTTTTTGTAAAATAAAAATAAAAATAAAAAGAATAAAGCATGTGAGAGTTATTATCCATGGCATTACTTTGAGTTTAGTAGTCAGACAAAGATTCCCAGGTACATTCATTACTGCCGATCAATGCTCCACAGTACTGTTCTTAGAGATGGTAATTTAGTAGATTCCACACCGTACCCGCTCCAATTGGTGCGGGCTGGGGATGTGTATAACTTTAGTGGGTAGTGGGCGGGTGTGGATTTAGAAAGAATACCCGTCGCGGGTAGTGGGTGGGTAATGGGTTTGAGACCTTACCCGCCCCGCATCCGCCCGCCCCACATTCGCCCGCCCACTAAATACCCATTAAATTTTGGACTATTATGAATTTAGGTATAATTTTAGAGACTAATTTATAAATCTTAATATTGTATAAGATATAACTTATAATTTATGTACTTTAAGATCTATATTAACATTTAACTCAGATAATCATTGGTTTATTTTATTATGTTTCTTAATGGACGTGTTTGTTTTATGTTTGTTGCTTATGTATAATTTAAGGTTGCTGTCAGGCGGATCTAGCCAGGTACGTCTTCAGTTGGGTAGTGGGTGTGAGGATGAATTTGAGAATGTACCCGAGTGGGCGGGCGTGGATTTGAAAAATTTTACCTATCATGAGTAGTGGGCGGGTGGTGAATTTGAAAATATTAGGTGGGCATGGGGATGAGGGAGGGGTATCCGCACCCGACCCGTCCGTTTGTCATCCCTAACTGTTATCAACAATTTATGCAATAGTTGTATACTTTCCCGGCACTTGGTCCATAATATCCCCGATTTATAGCTAATTATATCATATATTTTCAAACTATAATTTTTATTTTAAATTGATTATTAGACTTTTGAATATTTTAATTTAATCTAATTTATGATTATCATTTTAAATTAATCATTAAACTTTTGAATATTTTAATTTCATCCCTTGACTATGATTCTCTTTCTAAATTGATCTCCAAAATTTTGAATATTTCTAATTTCATTTCCAAATTCATCTAAATATATAGTTAGTTTCAATCGTAGTTTAATCTAATTTTTTTTTCAAACATATAATAATATAATTTGACCTAACGATTTTATTAACAATGGATGTGATTAGTATATATGTATAGTTTAGGATGAAATTGAAAAAATCACAAAGTTTGGGAATCAGTTTAGAATGAAGGTTATAGTTTGGGGATGAAATTAAAATGTTCAAAAGTCTGAGGAATAATTTAAAATGATTGCCATAGTTTAGGGATGAAGTTAAAACATTTAAAAGTTAAGAGACCAATTTAAAATGAATTTTATACTTTGAGGATATATGATGTAATTATTTATGAAAGTTATAATTTCACATGACGATTTTATTAACTCCCGATTAAATAACGAGATCCAACTGCTTATTTATGCTTGTTATTAATAGATATATATATTAAAATATTTGCAAAAATTAATTTTGTTAACAACTAGAATATTATATAAATATAAAATATGATAAATAATATTATTCTTCACAAAAATAATAATAATATTTTTTAAAATGTAATATTTAATAAATATTATTTATGTCAATGTATGTATCATTAAATTATTTCTAAAATAAATAAATAAAAATGTTATTATTATTTTTATTAAATAATAGTTTTTCAAAAGTATTAAATAGTATTTGTATTTAATTTATGTATTAAATAAATAAATCTAAAATGTTTTGAGAAAGGCCCAAAACGCTATGCTTTTCATTTTGGGTTTGAATCTAAATCTCGAGTATAGTTGGTTGTGTCTGTCTTTCCATTGGATTCTCAAGCTCTGAAAGTAGGCCTAATGGGCTGTTCTTTCAATTACGTTTAAATCATATGGTGAAATATATGGGTCATTAAATTATCTTAAAATTATATTTTTAGGTATTGAAGTTTTTAAAATTATAAAATAATTGTTTAATTTATTAAATTATGATAAATATTCATTAGATATTATAAAATAATGATAATTTCTAGGGTAAATTATAAGTTTAGTACCTAAACTATTACTTTTGTTCCATTTTGGTATCTTAATTTTATTTTTAAACCATACATATTGTTAAGTTTCAATTTGATATCTCGCCATTAAAATATTAATAGAACTGCTGACATGATTTTTTTATTTTTTTCAATGATGATGTGATATTATCTTATGCTGACATGTCAACATAACCGTTAAGTTTTTAACGACGGGTACCTAATTGAAACATAACCTAAATGTTAAGTTTTTAACGACAGATACCTAATTGAAACATAAACTAAACGTTAAGTATAATTTTGAAAAAAAATAAAGTTTTAGTACCAAAATGAAATAAAAATAATAGTTTAGGTACTAAAAATTTAATTTGCCCTAAATTTTATTAAATTTAAAAATTATTTCATAATAATTTGATAAGTTTTAATAACTATTTTATACTACTGGTTTAATAAATTTAATAATAATTTTAAAATTTTATTGGATAAAAAAATCATTTAAGTATAGTATAATGATAGTGTAATTTATCCTAAAACAAATGAATGGGGTTTAAGGCGTCACGTGTCTCAGGCAACTGAATAAGAGGCCCTTAATTTGCGTTGGACTCCTGCGAAGAAAACCTGAAAACTGAGGAGCTTCCTCCATCGGCATCGACGCCAGAGCAGACACATCGCGCGCCCATGGAAACACTCACCTCCCCGGCCACCGCTATGACTATCATCTCTTCATCCTCCTCTTTGTTCTCCATCTTCTCTCCTAAGCCAAAATTTTCTCCAACAAGAATCATACGCTTTCCCACCCCTTCCAAAAGTAATATTTTTTACCTTTTTTATTTCAATCTTTTTCCCCCTTTGTCGACTATAATTAACACCAATTTTTGTATGTGTTCTTTTTATGTTTTATTTATCAGAGAACAGTAATGATTCCGATCTCCAATCTGATCCGAACAACACAAGCATCGTTCCTTTCTTTGGCAATCAGACTCTGTCCCAGGTAAAACAAATGAAGTTGGCATCCTTTTTTCTTCTTCTTTTTAACTGTTTTCTTTTGGTACAAAACAGTGAATCGGGTTTTGTTGTGTGGGTTATTTGCGGAATTCAATATAGGATGCAGCCATGGGGTTGGTTCTGAGCAACGCGTCTGTAAGAGGGTGGACTACGGGATCGGGTATGGAGGGTCCGTCTATACCTGCCGGAACCGAGGACCAATCCAATACGGAGAAAGTCTCTACCTTTCCATGGTCTCTCTTCACCAAGTCGCCACGTAGACGGATGCGCGTGGCCTTCACTTGCAATGTTTGCGGTCAACGAACCACTCGTGCCATCAATCCCCACGCTTACACCGATGGCACCATATTTGTTCAGGCAAGTTTTCTAAACTAAGAATATTGGATTTGCATATGAAGAGGGAATGTTGATTTCTCTCTCTCTCTCTCTCTCTCTCTCTCCGGGAATTTGCGCTTGTTTTGATTGGGGAATGATTCTGTGATGGTGGTGGATTGCAGTGTTGTGGATGCAATGTTTTCCACAAGCTGGTGGATAATCTGAATTTGTTTCATGAGATGAAATGCTATGTCAACCCCAGTTTCAACTATAAGGGGAACCCGGAATGGGATGTCGGATTCAAATTATTCAATGAGGAAGATGATGATGGCAGTGGCAATGTGTTCCCTATATGAAGTGATGGGTTGATGGCACATAAACTGTACATTTCTTTGCTCATACTGGAAAACTGATTTGAATCATGTTTGTGAATAGCTTTGTGTAATTGATAACTTATAGCGTTCTTGTCAGCTAAACACTGTATTTATAAATAAATAAAAAAACATCAAGACAATGCTTAGCATGATAGCAATGGTGTTTGATGTTCATCTCAGTATTGCTTTGTTGGTGGGATATTGGTGCATGCACTTTTAAGCTTTAACATGTTCTATGGGTATTACTTATATATAGAAATATTGTTGAGTTAATTTTGGGAAAAGTAATGCCACTTGGAGTTTTTATGCATGTTCTAAGGGTATTACTATTACAACTCAAAATCAGGGTTGGTTAAAGTAGTAATGATGATGAGGTGATAATGCCCTTTGATATGCGTTAGTTAGATGTACCATTTTGTTAGGGAGTCGGGGCCTTTGATATGCGTTGCCTTCTTTATAGGTAAATTATAACAAATTCTGCAGATGGTTATAAGAATGCTGTATTCTTTAGGTATTTTATTGTCATCATCAAAAGTGACGACGATACTGGAAATAGGATTTGAGTTGGGTGGCAATGACATCTCTTTCCGAGTTGTAATCTTTTCCGCATGTCTCTTTGCCTGTGAAATCTCATCATCTTAGGAGTTAGCTGCATGGATCTCTTGCAAAGTACTATCTACTCCAACATATTCATGGTTGTAGAATGATCATGCCCATTCTACCTTCTGCACTTAAGAGACTTTGTCTACAAAATTTTCAAGTTAAATCTAGGATGCTTTTAAGACGATACTGGAAATGTTTGAAGGGATTAAGAAATCTCGACTTTGTATGACTGGAGATGTAACCAACCATCTGGAAATGGAAGTCGGAATGGTGTCGTCAAGAATCGTATTCGTTAGAATGTGGTACTTGGGATTGGTGGAGGAAATTTAGAGTTTCAAAGTGTAATATTGATATTTCAAAGCTTTAGATACATTAGAAGATACGGAAGTCTTTGGGTTTTCAACGACTTCATATATGAGTTGTCCTTCTATGGCTTCAAATGAAATATCTTGTTGTGCAATGTGCACCACATTTGGTATAGGGCTATCCAATCCAACTCTTCACCTCACATCTAAGGGCTAATGCCACGTGGAGGGTTAGCATCCGAGCTAGCCAATCATATCAATCCTCAGTAGATGCCTTCCCGATAACCCGAATTCCTCGTCAATTTCGAACCACATATCAAACCTCATCTTGTTAAAAGCCAACCTCTCTCTCTCTTCGCCAATCGATTTCCTCTCACTTCGACTGAGAATACATACCAACTCAACAAGCCTTAGTCCAATGGCCACCGTCACCTCTGCAGCTCTCACCATCCCATCCTTCACTGGCCTCAATGCCGGTTCAGCCGTTGCTAAGGTAAGCCCTGCAGCCAAGGTTGCAGCCTCTCCGGTCCCTAGGGTCGGCATCAAGGCCTCACTTAAGGACCTCAGTGTCGCTGTCGCTGCAACCGCTGCAAGCGCAATCCTTGCCAGCAATGCCTTGGCCGTTGAAGTCTTGCTCGGTGGTGATGATGGGTCTCTGGCTTTCGTCCCCAGCTCTATCACCATGAACTCTGGGGAGAAGATTGTGTTCAAGAACAATGCTGGGTTCCCACACAATGTGGTGTTCGACGAGGACGAAATCCCAGCCGGGGTCGATGCAGCCAAAATCTCCATGTCCGAGGAAGACCTACTCAATGGCCCTGGAGAGACTTATGCTGTTACCTTGACCGAGAAAGGAACCTACAGTTTCTATTGCTCTCCTCACCAGGGCGCTGGTATGGTTGGAAAACTGACCGTTAACTAAGTTACAGCTTTGTGCATGTATCATCACATCCATCTTTTGTACTTTTTGAGCATTAGAGTTTTGAGTGGTGGGGATGGATGGGATCATCGTGGATTTGTATCTTGATATCTCTCCTTTACTTTAAATTTGTATTTATATTTGCTTGTAATAGGATTTCAGTTCTGCTTTACCATCCAAGTCCAACCAATAAAGCGATTAAAATCTGATTTTCTTTTGGGAACTCTTCTTCTAGCCATTAATTAAAACGGAGTATACTACAAGGTTGAAAGCATATGCCCAAATCGAATGATATAAAACATAATGAGGAAGAGTTATATGCGGTACTGTTCAAGATTTCCACTGACAATGTGAAGCTCAGTGAGGAATGGTTCTGGGTTGTCAACGCACATTCCTTGATAGGCTGCCTTTTAGTTGCCGTTGCCACCTCTTTGGTTTGATATTGGAGGAGTGGCCATTATCATAAGGCTCTGGACAAAGGCTATCATCTGATGAAGAAATTTTCAATTAGCAACTGTACCATTACTATGTAGTTGCAGATTAGATGCACTTTGGGGCTGCATTTTATAATTTCAAAGAGAGGGAACATGCATGTCTCACGTTCGTACCAAGGCAAACCCGACGCACGTGATACTGAAACCAGGGAAATAAAAGGGTGCTTGTTCCGAAGGAACAAAGCTGGGAGAATGAGTAATCCATGTCAGTTAAAAATTTGAATGTCTTAAGGAAGAACTGAGTCGAGTTTTGCTTAACCTCTGCATGAGGTAGTTCGGGCATGAGCAAGCATATCTTCTATGCAAGGCATGGTTTTTAAAATCTGCATTTTCTTGCTTGACTGCTCATCCTGATTAACAATGCCATTAAAATTTTCTTTTGACCCAAGGATTTTGTTTTATATCAATAAGGTGCAACTTGAATCCTCTTAAGAGTATAGAGATAAAATTTTGTGATTAAAAAGTCATCCTAAAAAAATAATACCTTTCATGTTGTTGATAATTCCAAATAAATAATCAAGAGATTCCTCAACATCACTCTTGAAAACTACAAATAAAATTAAACAAACTTTCACCCTGGATGAACTGTTATCTAAATGCCTGTTGGAAATACTTAAAAGATGCTTATTCAGTCAATTCACTGACAATTATTCTGAAAATAATAAAAGAAGTATTATTAATTGACTGACATGAATGTCCTAAAAACATGAATGCAATTAGTTTTTAGCAGAACAGAGTGACTGGGTCAAGTAAGTGTATCGCTTTTTGAAATCGTTAGAGACAAATTGCTAATGAGCATTCAAGTATTCCAGGAGAAAAATAAAGCAGACAAGGCTGATATCAATCATGAATGGAACCTTCATCGTCAACCGTTGCGAAATTATAGGGAAAGAACGTGAAACAAAGATGTCTCGAAAGCTTAAAGCAGGCAAAGAGGGTATGCCGGAATTACGAGATATTTGTCACCTCAATCGGAGTACTCTCATAATTAACATAAGTGGCCATTAGTGTTGAAAAGTCAAAGCAATTTGCAATTTCGGTGGTGCAAATTGTTGCATCGAAAGTATCGAAAAAATTTGTCAAAATTCAGTGCAGAAATTGTTGATTTTTTTGGATGGTAAAATTGCACATTTAGTCCTTGTATTTTAAGCTATTTATAAGATTAGTCTTTAACCTTCAACTATAAATACCCTAACCCATTTAGCTTCAAAATCATCCCAAATCGTTCTAGCTTTCTCCCAATACTAAGAGAATTTAGAGAGTTTTCTTGAGAGTTATTTTTCTCATTTTTATCAAGAGAGAAATATTATTATTTTCTCATTGTTAGATCGAGAGAAGTTGTAATTCCTATTTTCTCATAGTGAAATTCTTCTACAGTTACCCGTGTTTTTTACCCTATATTATTTAGGGGTTTTCCACGTAAAACTTGTGTCTTCTTTATCTTCATTTTTATTTTCTCAAATTATAAGTTGCGATTTTACTCTATCCGATAGCCGTATTCTGCAACAATTGGTATCAAAGTCATATTAGAGAGTGTAATATCTACTTATTGTCTTTGTGGTTGCCACCAAAAGGTGGATCCTCCAACATAAGAAAGTAATAAGTTATTACCCATTCTTTGAAGGTTCCAAAAAACTATTCACAATAGTGAAATAGTGAGAGCTATGCGTAAAAGAAGCTATGACAACTAAATTTAATATTGAAAAATTCAATGGGAGAAATTTCTCATTGTGGAAATTGAAGGTGAAGGCCATCATTAGGAAAGACGGTTGTCTAGCAGTTATCAGTAAAAGACCGGTAGATTTCACGGATGACAACAAATAGATCGAAATGGACGGGAATGCTATGACAAGCTTTCATCTAGCATTAACATATGAAGTATTGTCAAGCATCGAAGAGAAGAATACAACTAAGGAGATATGAGATCATCTCACTAAATTGTACGAGGCCACATCGTTACACAATAAAATTTTCCTTAAGAGAATATTGTACACTCTCCGTATACCAGAATCTACTTCAGTGACAGAACACTTAATGTAACATCCGCAATACCGGGTTAGTGACCAAATTGTAAAGTTTCAGAATTTGGTGACTAAAGTAGAAGAATGAAAGAATTCAATGATTATTTGAATATATATATTGAAGGTTATTTGGTAATTATTAAAGGAAATTAAGGGTATTATGGTCATTTGACCAGAAAGATTTTTATAATTTTTTTAAGGTAATATAAACGTGGGACATTTGAGAAGCATCCAGAGTTCTCTGCTCCTTTCTTCTTCTTCATACGTGGGAGAGCAAGGCAAAGGTAAGTTTAATTTCAGTTGGTTAATTCTTAAGTTTTAAGCTTAGTTTTGATTCTTTGGGTATTAAATAAGCTTAAGGAAAGCTTATATGGGATTTAAACAATAAGATAAATAAATTATGAAGGAATTTGCAATATGAGTTTTAAGATGAAATTTTGATATGGTATGGTTGTTGAAGTTTTAGGGATGAATTTGACTTGTCATCAATCTAATTAAGAAGTATGAAGTGTTAGAATTGGAATTAGAACACATTGAAAATTTGGTATGATTTTTGAATCTCATATGGAAGATAGGATTTTGAGGTTTAAGATGAAATAAATGAATATAGATTGGTTTAAGTATGTGTACTAGAGTTAAGAATGAAAAGGGGATGATATATGAAGTGTTTGAGTGGAAATGAAGTAATTTTCGGGTTGAAAATATGATTTCTGGGCAAGGGGAATCGGTACCCATTCAAGGGGAACCGATACCCCTTCAAACGAACAACATTTCCAAAATGTCTGTAGGGAATCGATACCCCCATAGTAGGGAACCGATTCCCCCTAAAGGAAATTGTGAATATGGATTTAATAAGTTCGTTTAAGTTGCTAGTATCCAATTACAAGGTGTAGGTATCTAATGATTGCCTCAAAATGTACATTTATGTAGATTCTACGCATAAAGCAATTCCGGAACGTTTGGCAAGTAAGATCGATCAAGGGAAAGATAAGAGATTGGAATTGACTAGTGAGGCCAGGTGAGTGCATATTCAATAGTATATGATGTGCGATGGGAATAAGACTTGCGATGAGTCTATTTCCTGAAGTGTTACATATGAATTCATGATTAAAGGCATGAGTTGAATATGCATGTATGTATGCTTGATTATATGGATTGATCTGTTCTGTTATGTGTTAAGTGATAAAGTATAAGTGATTACATAAGAAAAGTTATGAATTATATGAGTTATAAACTATGTGATCATAGTAAAATAGAATTATATTATTAAATGAGAAGTGAAATAAGCTAGATAATATTGATCTATAGGATGATGTGAGAATAGTACACTAACTGGGAGATTTGAACATAAATAATAATATGAACATATAAGATAAGCTAGATGGGAAAGATTCATATGTTTAAATAAAACTATAACACATGGGTTGTATGATAAAAATTTATGAAGCTATATGAGAAGATTATAAGAGTTATATGAAATTGAATTAAGTAAACAAATTAGATTATATATATATAAAGAAATAATAGAAGTGAGATGTGTTTATAAGTCTGACATAGATGAATATGAATATGAATTATAAGAGTGCTATATGATTTATATTAGGATAAATCTTGAGAATATATATATATATAGATGGATATGAAATGAAATGAGTTATATGAATACCTAATTATGTGATGAAATGGTGGATTACCTGAACATGTGAATATATATATATATGTCTAAGAGAAGGCATAAGATTAAGATATAAGCAATGCGACTATAAGTATATATGTGCTCTAAGTGATATGACTTATAGGTATTTCTATTATAATGTTACATAATATGTTATGTATGTTAAATGAATTATGTGATGGTATAAGAAATGATATGAAATATATATGTGAAAACAAGTATATGTTATGAGATAAGACCTATGATTATAAGCTACGTGAAAGTGTTCTAGGTGTTTTTATATATTACATGAAGTATATGGTCTTATGTGAACAAGATATGATAAGTATGTTTACATGAATAAAGGTGATTGGGTGAGAAATGATAGAAATTATATGAAAACATGACATATGTGACATGTGAATTATATGGAAATGATCTACGTGTAAGTGAACTACGTGACTATGTGATAATATGAAAAGAAGCTATGTGATACGTTATATGTGAAAGTGAATTACAAGTTTATGTGAATATTTGAAATGAAATAAATGATAACGCCCATGTTATGTGTCATGAGAGCTAGGGGTATAGTTGGCATGCCAAGAGTCGAGGGTCTACGCGGTCCTTCGGGACATATGTATATTCTTTGGAACATGTGTGAAGTCTTGAAAGACACATATATGATCCCTAGCATATGTATATGATTCTTAAGGAATTCTATGTGGTCCTTATGGACATTATTATATGGCACTACGGTGCAATTCTACGCGGTCCTTCGGGATATATATATATTCTGTGGAACATGTGTGAAGTCTTGAGAGACACATACTTGATCCCTAGCATATGTATATGATTCTTAAGGAATTCTATGTGGTCATTATGGACATCATTATATGGCACTACGGTGCAATTCTACGCGGCACTACGGTGCAATTCTACGCGGCACTTCGGTGCAATTATACGAGCTGTGGTGACAGCATTAGTGTACAACCTCTATAGACTC